GATGTGGTGGACAGACGGAAAATTGTGGAGAAATTAAAGCTTTGTTAAAAGGACAATAAATATGGACACCTAGCGCGGGCATGTGAAGAAACTGGTAAATGCTTGGTTGATGGTTGCACCGGCAAGCACCATAGCCTGCTTCACTTGACACTAAGGGATTGCGTGTCCGCGAATTTGCAAGCAATCGTGGGAGATTACTTTTTCACGCAGGATGATAATACTTATCTCGGAATAGTCCCGGTAAAAATAATGAAGGGCGACAATTCGTTGAAGGTATATGCCTTCCTAAATAGTGGTTTGGATACCTCAATAGTTAGTAAGGCAGTTTCCGAAGTGTTAGGACGCTTATGGAGATCTCAGGAACAACCAAAGGAAGAGATTTTTATTTCACCCACTTGGTGCCACTTCGTCGCCATTTTGTGCGAACTACACTTTACGCCGCACGATCGAATCAGTCACAGACATAGGCAATGATTAAGTGAGATGTGCAATTGGACGATATTTTTACGTCAACGACTGGTTAGCATCGTTTGTTGCCGAACAAGCAATGCTTTTCGCGGATCAAGCAAGAGTGGCGCTTAGCAGGGGAGGTTTACGGCTATGCAAGTGGTTGAGCACCTGCAGTGGCGCCATAAGCAATATTTCCGAGAGCGAAAGGGCGGTTAGTTGTGCACAGCTAAATATGAATTAAGATACCCAAGAGCGCACTTTAGGCATGAATTGGCTTATTGTTGACGATGCTTTCGTCTTCCCGTTTGAAGCAATCCGGAAGCCAGTCACTAAAAGATGACTGCTATCGTATGTTGCTTCTCCGTATGACCCTTTGGGTCTCGTTACGCTAATAATTCTGACGGGCAAAGTATTTTTACAAGCACTTCACCGCAAAACCCTCGGATGGGATGAACTAGTAAGTGAGAATGACCGGCGCACTTGGGAATCTTAGGTTAATGAGTTCAACAAATTGAAGGAACTAAAGGTGCCGAGGTGAATGGGGATTGAAAACCAAAGAGCCGTGAGCCAGCGCAAATGCACATAATCAGTGACGCATCTGAATCAGCTTACGTTGCCGCAGCCTACTTGAGGGACATCATGAATGGTAATGTTGCATGTGACCTCTTTATGGTTTTTTTGGGTATAAACACCGCCTTGGGAGTTTGAACACAAAAATACACAAAAATCGTTCAGGGAGAAGAGTAAAATACATCGGATAACCAAGACCTGGTCGAATGCGCAGTTCACATGACTGGATGCTACCGCACACGAGCGCTCAAATTCAAAATGGGACGAATGAACAAGGAAAAGAATAATAGTGCAAATGGTAGAGGTATGGGGTGAGCAAGAAGAGATAGAAAGAAGACAGTTTGGGCAGCGGAGGAACGAGATTGTGAAAACAGTTGCGGTGATGGGCATATTGCCGATTCAGATGCGCATAAGGAGCAGCATTACTAATGGGATAGTAATATAACGAATTAGTAATGACCATAATTGCAACAATAGTAATTTTAATTATAATAATAATAATGCGTGTTGAAATATGAAAGCAGATAATCTCAGTCCTGGGGCAAAGATATTCAGGCAGACAAAAGGCCCAAGAAGGAGTGAGATAAAGTGATGAGAGCAGCGCTTAACCACTCTGGGAAGGTGGAAGCCACCAATCTGTTCTGAGAAGATAGAAGAGGCGTCGAAATAAAGGCAGAAAGGTAACCGAGACTAAAAGTCGTATTGTTCCACGTTACTGGTCGAGTCGAAATATGCGAGGAGCAGCGAGAACGACCATGGCGAAATTGATATTTCACCTCCCGGTCTAGTCGTATCAGACATCACTGGATTGGTAGAGGGACAAGTGTTCACCTTAAAACAGAGAACAGGGAATGATACAAAACAATAATCGACAAACAATGTGCGATCAGAGTTGCGAATGAATATCGTTCGATAAATCCGAGTAAATAAAACAGACCAGAGTGGAAGTGTAGCTCAGTGACGACGACGACACTCGTTTGAATTGGTTTAGTGCTGTTCAATACGGTTGAATGCCAGAATGTACAAAAGCCATATGAACAGGAACCAGATGGGACACTGATGGATAACAATCCTGAGTGATATGTGAGCTACGTCGCATTTCGCTTTTCGGGCGATGCCCACCTGCCCCTAAAGCACATGTGCTTCTGAGGGGCTTAATGTGATCGAAGTAAACGGGCTCATGATTTCATAAGTTAATTTCGTCATTCTTATCCGGACGCAATCAAGAATAAATAAAAACATGAACAATTGGAGGATATGACGCTTGTACACGAGCGTGTGGAGAGAGCTTCAAGAGAGACAGCAATAGCGGCAGGGTGAACCGTATCGAACGGACATACAGCCACAGTGAACACATGGCATTGGGGATGAATCCAAGACTCGGTCGAGAATGGGTAGTCTATAAGGTAAGAAATAAGTCAATAGATGCACAAGAAAAACTGGTAAATGCCATGAGAAATAGTGTTACAAAACCAATGACCAATCTGGAACAGACCATTTGGACTGTACAGGGGATCTAGCGTATTGCGTCAATCATGAGAGAAACAAGGCAAGGAAATTAAGTTTAATGGGCACATGCTGACCGTTAGTGTATACATCAATAGAGCCGTAAAAAAGACCAGAGTATGAGTTATACCAATATTTACCGTCGCTGTTCAAATATTCTACCTGTGAGCTGATCGTCAAGGTTACCATAGTATTGAAGGGGACAATATGGTGGTGCATTCTTGAAGGAATAGAAAGAAATGCAATAGGCACCGAAAATGAGATGTTATTCGTATTAAATGAGGGAAGGAGGGGTACGGAGATGTAACGAGTCTCACCGACGTATTGTTCGATAATAAGTAGGGCAGATGAGTAAATGAGACTAAGGGATGACGAAAACTTCAAGGTACAAGGAACGTCAAAATACGGTCACTGACCAAACAGTATGACGGCAAAGAAAAAATGGAGAACGAACCGGGCAATGCTGCCGTTTGGGGATCTTCGTAAATAGAGATACGAGACAGGAAGCTGTGGACAAACTATTAAAGCTGTCAACAAAAACCTGTGAATTGGAAGTGAAGCGAGGAGTGATGATGCAATATCCTGGCTGAATCAAGGCTTATTGATACAAAAAGAATGGCAAGGTAGTATAGTTTTACACGGGCTGTGCAACGCGCACGAGTGGGATAGACAACGATTTTACACGCACTGAGTGAGCGTTCATTGCCAATACGTGGTAAGAAATAGAGAACGAGTGTTTCGTGATCAGAACGAAGATGCAAAGTGAGAATGAGTGCTCTCGTAGAGAGTTCAGGAAGCGTGCAGGACGCATGACGACCGATAGCCTGATGGCGGTGTTTGTATGGTAAAAAGAACGCAGTATTTATCTCATACTATCTGTTGGATGAGGAAAATATCCGGACATGTGAACTGGGGGGGAGGGAGAGGGAAACAACAATCGAATAAGGATACGCAAGAGTGCGTGTGAGTGCGTGCACTCAAGGGAGTGGGAAAACGTGTGGAACGTTCATTTTACCAGGCATTCGACGCTACATCTGCAAGTTGACACGAGGAGTTACTGTAGTTGCTGTTGCTGCTGAGCGTAGGCGTAGGCAGAAAAGTCGCTAGTGGTGGGTCGTGCCATTTGTTGCGGAGAGGCTTGCTGTTGCAAGTATTGCTGTTGTGTGGGCTGGGACTGCTGATGCACGACAGCGCTGGGATTAAATGCAGCCGCCACGGCGGCTAAATGTTGTTGGTTCTGCGCCGCTTGGAGTTTTTCAGCTGTTGCATTAATCCAGGCACGTTGATTGCATACTTGGGAGTGCTGTTGTTGCGCTTGATGTTGTTGTTGAGCCTGTAGCTGGGCCATATTCTGTTGTTGCTGTTGTTACGTAAAGGGAACAATTGGTCCTGCAGACCACGGCACTCGCGGTCTGAAGGCGGACCACCAGAATTGGGAAAGTTGGCCCCGAGGCCGCCATTCCTGAGAAGCTTAGAAGAAATTCCTCTATTCAACTTGGTCTCCACTGAAGAAATCGAAGGGCAGATTGATCTGAAGCGCACAGTGACTATCAACCAAACTACAGTCGCGATGAGCGTCAATTTACTTTCCTATTATTCGCAGTGGTACAAGATGTTACGGGCAACAGCTTGGTTGAGGCGCTTTACGTAATATATCAACGTAATGTGGAGAAAGAAAGGTACCTTGTCACTACGAGTGGGTAGACTTTCGATAGAGGAGATTGAGCTTAAATGGGTAAATGTTGTGCGCCCAGTTCAAGCAAAATCGTTCTCAGACGATCAGGTTTCACTAAGGGACCCCAAGGGGCACGTGCACAGGGGTGGCCCCCTACGTAAATTGTGCCCAATTTTAGTAAACGGAATGCTTCGAGTTGGTGGTAGACTGAAATACGCGCACTTGCCACATGACGCAAGACACCCAACTATCCTACCCCCAAGACACCATGTAACCGAACTTCTTATACGTCACGGTCATGAAAAGGAAGGTCATTCAGGGCACGTGTTATCTGAAATTAGGAGGCGGTTCTGGATAATCAAATGTGGTGCAGCAGTAAAGAGAACTCTGAGCAAATGCATTCATTTTCGTAGGCAATTTGGTGAGCCAGGGTGTCAGCTAGTGGTTGCATGGTCTATAAATAGAATGAGTAACCAGTTGCCACCATCCCACTCGGTTACTGACGGCACTCCTCAGTACAAAACAGTTAACCGATGAAGTGTTAATAACTGCCCTGGTAGAGGCCGAACGGATAATAAATGATAGACCGCTCGTTCCGTAATCAGTCGATCCGCAAGCTTGAAAAGCGCTCACGCCACAGATGTTGCTCACTACAGGGTGGTACAATTCGAGTTCTGAGGTGAAAACCACTCTAGACTGTTATCACCGTAGATGTCGAGAAGTGCAAGATATTGCACATAGCAAATTGCTTCTGGACGCGATAGACGAGGGAATACTTGC